TGGACCCAACCAGTTATGAATTAACTTTTTGAATAACCCTTTTCTAGTTCTTGGGGTATAGACCCAAACACATTGATCAACTTCGAAAACAGGTTCTTTTGCCCTTTAATTGTAATAGTCCTTCATGTTTTGCTTTGCACGTTGTAAATTTCCTCTTGCTAAATTTTTCTTTGCGCCAACTCGTCCTTTTCGACAACACGTTTACGATGATCAAGGACCGAAGTGCCCGAATCGTTTATCCGCAGGAGTCAAATACTTAACGTCCATGGGTAAACGAGGATATCGCCCATAGAGAACGTAAAAAGGAGAGTGCCCAATAGAGGTCCTGTGCGCAAACAAAATGAGGAGTATGAATTTATCCCTATCTTTCTGGTTTTTGGAAACGTGCATCGAAAAAGACTGACAGAAGCTAGAACTAAATCTTTCTACAAGACTATCGGTTTGCGGGTGATAACTTGAAGTATTGACCTTATGAGTTTAAAATATTTTACAAACCTCTGCAAAGACCTTACAAAAAAATTTAGCTCCCCTGTGTCTTTATTGTTAATGAGATAAAATACGTGCCGGCATTAAAAGGTTCAGATGGAGACAATAGAACAATGCAGTATAAAAGACTTAAAAGTATAAAAAGGTTTAAAATGTTAAAAATGTACATATCTCTATACATAGGATCATCATAAATGGTCGTATTTAAAAAGTAATCTATTTACAAACGTATTCTTATAACGTTCCGTGTTTATCTCGGGCGTATGGCAGCCTTTGTGTCTCAGGTCGTATTTTAAATCAATCTTCTCTTATGGGAAGTAGACCTTCAGGGGTTGTTATCACACTGTTTAACTTTTTTCAAAATCATTTTATCCTGTTTGTGCAGTGGACATCTAATGTTTTACGGCGCGAATATAAGACGTAAGTTATGGCATCAGTCGAAAAATTGTTGAAAAATATTAAGATCCGTGTCGGAGGCACCATGAAGAGATAACCCGCAAGTTAAGTTAGGGAGGACGATGCTATAGAAAAGGTAATCAGTTTGCCTGGCTGTCACGCTCTTTTCCACATAGTCTTAGTACGTGTAGACATTTCTTGGCCTTGTACAGTTTAGCTTTTGCATTGTCAGAGAACTTACAGTCATTCTGAAAGGTCAAACCTAATAATTCAAGAGTGGCATGTCATGTTGTGGTGTATTGTATAGAACAGGATAGGATGTGGAGTTCCCATTCTTTTTGCTGACAAGCTCTTTACACTTGTTAAGGTTACACTTCCTAGAGTTACAGTTCGACCAGGTCAAAAACTTCTCCACTAACCCACTTGACGTATTTCTTACCCCTTTCCACACTGGTGCGACAATAGTAGAATCATCTGCATGCTTACAAAGGGTGGGAGTGGAACCATGATTGATTTCAAGGTCATAACAGGCCAGAGCCCCGATTTTAGTGCGCGCCGGAGGAGGCCTAATCTCCACAGCAACCACCGCAGATCGGTTTCCAATAACAGACAAGCGTTACTTTCGTAATTAGTTTTAAGCATTCCTCCAGACACCTTTGGAGAGCGCCGGACACATTGCCTGTCAAGGAACTTTGTACTTCTGATTAAACGAACCAGAC